TTTATTATAAATTTTATTTATATATAATAAATATATACATTGCACAGTTCAAAATATTAATTTTTATAATAAAAGAGGGATAAAAGGTTTAAAATCAGATGAAATGAATAATTTATAAGAAAAATAAAAAATATTAGAAAAGTATTAAAAAAAATAGTAAAATAATGTTTAATCAATAAAAATCATATCTAACAAGTATAATTAGTCTTTAATTATCAGCTTTACGATATTATATGTGAATCATGCTCATAAATTTTTTTTTTCAATATTAATTGGTAATAGGGCGATTATTCTTTTGGTTTCATAAATAAGTAATGGACTTATATTGTTTATTTTTTATAGATAATCATTTTTTAATGCTGCATCATTTATTTATAATAATAATAATAATAATAATATTATTATTATTATTATTATTATTATGATATTCATAAATAGATAATGGAATAATAATAATAATATTATTATTATTACTTTATTTAATTGTTTAAATTCTTCGTAACTAAACGGATCCTTGTAGTTTGTATTATTATAATTGTATAATGATATGAATTTTGAATGAAATAAATGTAAATTTTTGAATTATATTGATAAATAGTCGTGGTTCTGGTTGATCCTCGTCGCACCTCTGTTATTTTCTTAAAAGAAAAAAAATAATAACCGTGGTTCTTTGGGTAAGAAAAATACATTAGACAGAGCAGGTAGGAAGAGAAAACGTGTGGTTTCCTCTTAACCTTTATTAAAGGGCATCACAAATGTTTTATTATTTTATAATTTCATTCAGCCGAACAAATATCCCATTGGTTCAAGTGTCTGACTCATGGAAATCGGATAACTCTCTCTGCCCCTCTCTGTCTCTATGTTTTCTCCAATCCAGACTTTTATAAATAATATATAAAAAATAAGAATAGGTAACGAGAGGAGAAACTTCTAGGATATTTTTATGCTGTCTCAATATATCACGTGAATGGGAAAATTATTTTAAAAAGAAGAAATTAAGTAAATCATTTTTTCATTTCTAAATTTAATGAGGAAAAAGATTAGGATATATTCTTTAAGTTAAAATGTTCAGGCATGAGAATGCTTCAGTTTTGAATGTTACATTGCATAGCGATTTTTGTAACTCCATCTCATGTCATGTGTAGAATGTGAATTTTCTTTTATGTGCATGTATCACACTCCCTATTGTCTAACGTGTAG